GTTATTGAACAGTGATAGTACATTTCCCATTTTTCTTTCTCTGAGATGCCACCAGTTGAGTCTTCAGACAGTGTTCGTGACATTAGTGTCATCTTTTTGAGGATTAAAAATGGGAAGAAAAGGAAAGCTTCTAATATACACACAGAGAAAAATAATGTTTACAAAGAGGAATAGTGTATAATTTTTCCTCTGCTCAGAAGACTGTTTTAATGGTAAATATTCATAAACTTGTAGTCAAAGTTTTTCCTGAATGATTGCTTCATGATGGATTTTGGGTTAGGGAGTATCAGTATCAGTATGCTGTTTAGGTATGGGGAAAGAACACCTCATCTCCTTTGCCTAAGGACAACCACTATTGAATATAAACTGTGCTGACTTCATACCGTCACTTCTTAAAGTGATTTGTTTATTTTTAAATTACTTAGTAGGTGACAACTTGTCCTTTTAACGATTGCTATGGAAACTACATGCTTTCAATTTATACTTGCTGTAACACCATTGTCAGGAATGTGAAAATAGTAATGAATTCCTTTGAATACAGAAAGGTTTGTGGGTTTTGTGGGTTTTGTTTTTGTGTGTGTTTTTTTTTTTTTTTTTTAATAATCTGGATTGATTTTCTCCAAGGCATGACAAACTTCAGCTATAAATAAAATACTTGAAGCCCACTCTGGGTTGCTCTTGCTAATGGGATTGTAAGCTGTAAGCATCAGGGCAGCATGAAGAGAAAGTCGAGCTGCTACCTGTGATCCTGTGATGTCAGGAAAAAGGCAGCATTGTAGTTCCAGTGCTTGGGACTTCAAATTGGAGGTAGGGTAAGGAAGATGATGCCCACACTTGCCAAGGAGCCATGTGTTAAGGACTTCATTTGAGTGGTCTAGGACAGAGGAGGAGCTATGATCCCACACAGAGCTGTAGCAAGACCTTGCTGTGCATGTGGAGCCTTCCTCGCAACGCTCGCTGGAGTCCTTCTAGTCTGGAGATTTGCTGGTTTTGCGATCTTTCTGCCATCATCCATACTGACTGTATTTGTGGGCGAATTCAGTACGATGTATCATCTCGAGTCCTTAGTGGAGGTTTGGCAACAGGGCCAGCAGCAGAAGGACGAATGCCTCTATGAACATTTCCTTTTGAATCCTGATGTGTCAGGAATTTTTGTGTGCTTTGGTGTCAAGATTTTAGTGACAATGAGTTCTATGTATAATATTTGCTATGAAGAGAGAATTTCCTCCTCATAATTTTGAATTTATCTTTTAACTGCATAGCCCTTTGTTTTTAGGACTCAAACAGAAAAGGCATTGCTGAGCTGTTATTGATGCATTGTTGGTTATTTTATTATAGCTCGTCTTATATGTCTTTTTCCTCAAGTAATCCATCCTGATGGCTTCTGACTTTCTTTATAGGAGAACATTTTTATCCCCTTGATCATTCTTGCTGCCTGACTATGAATTTTCTTTCATAATCGTGTATTATCCATCAACACATTCTGCCTGAGGGTGTCTGCTCAGCTGGTAGACATCTGATAAATTACGTGCTAAGTCTGGGTACTTCCAGAAAGACATTCCTATCTGTCTGTCTCAAAGTTTCTAGTAGGTTATTAAAAGAAAGTCTTTTCTACTTGAATCCTCCTAGCTGATAGAAGAAGTGTCTGTTTCTACTTTTCTTTTTTAAACTAGATGAGGCAGAGATCCCTCTCTGACTGCCTTGTTCTTGTTTACCATGCTCTCAGTTCCTGCCAACCATAGGTATTATTGCCAGTAACTTTAAAAATAAGTTTTCATCTCCGGTATTGATGCAAGTACTGAAAAACAACAGATCTTGAACTGATCCCTGCAGAAATCCAGTGGAAGCATCTAATTTGCTCATCGTCCCCAATTGAGTCAGCAATCTGTCAGCATATTCTGAATTTAATTACCCTGTGCTTTACAGTTTATATTGCTAACGTTATAAAATCAAATTTGCACGTGGTAATAAGCCTCTCATGGCACCCTGCAGTACTACTTACAATTTTTGCGTAGTAAATGAGAACTCTCTCTGGCGATTTTAGTTGTAGTTTTTTTGGGCTCTGAAATTTATTTGCCCTGTCTCAGGTTTGTTTTGCTTATGTCGTGTTTTGTTTATGCATTTGTTAAACTGTGAACAGCTGCCAAGGCACTGGGGAAGTTTTTCTGCAGAATTAGTAAGAATATTTCACAGCTGGGCCAGATAGTGTTTTTTCCCTAAATGAATATTTTTAAGTGTTGCCTTATTCTTTGGGTATTATTTCCTATCGACCGTCAGGGGAACTTTCTGTTCCTTTCCTTACACTGTTTCTGTTTTATTTGTTTTTCTCCTAGATATGAGAATGGTACTTCTCCAGACCAAAGCTGTTGCAGCTTACCTGTGACATATAAATATCAACTTGTCAGAGCCCTGCATGCCTACCCACACACTCTTGAAGGTTTAGCTGCTTGAGTTGAAGATACTCTAAGGCTCAGGCTCAAGCTTGCTGGAGGTGCAGGCACAGCTGCGACCTAGCTTGGGCAGGGACCAAGGGTGAGGGCCTGAGCATAAATCACCTCCAGAGCAAGGGGAGGCTCCTTTCGGCTCTTCTCACAACTCTGCTGTTTTCCCAGTGGTCTGATCCAAGGTTACAGAGCTGCACGATGGCAAACCTGGCCTTGAGCATCAGCAGCCAAGCTCCTAGGAGGGGGTGGGTGTGCTCAGGTATGGACACAGCCATTTTATAGGCTCTGGACATTTCCATTTGGTTAAAAATAGCAGCCTATATTTGCTACTGGTAGACTAAGCAATTTCAGATTGTTCCACAGTTAGGTTTGTTGCTGTTGAAGTTGATTACAAATGGTGCTACTTCACTTACGTAGTTAATTAATGAGAAGTTTATGGAAATACAGAATTTTTCAGTCTGAGACCATTTGTTTAAGTGTTAGCGATATGAACTCCTAACCAGGTGGTTGCAGATCTGCAGATATACTGAACATACAGTGTTGTTGGGAGATGACATGAACTCGAATAAATAGGTTCATGAACCAATATTGATGAACACTTGGATGAATACATGAAAGTTGTGATGAAGAAGTATGCAAGGAGGATGCTTAAAGACAGTCTGGTGAAATATTTTTCTTTGGGAACTGTGAATTATCTGAGAGAAAAAAGGACATAACTCACTTTTTGGGCAAGCAAATAGCGGCATTTCTTTTCGGTAATTTAGGATAGGCTATTAGCAAAAAGAGTTTTTGGCATTGGTGATAATCCTCCCTGATGCTTTGGCTGGAGACTGTTTCTTTTGTGTATTTTCTCTCCATTTGCTTCTCACTGCTTCTCCATCCTTTAAAAAAAAAAAAAAAAAAAAAAAAGCTGTGCAATTGTGCATTCTGTTTTGTGTTGGTGTTTTTTCCTTTATGGTGATCCTCTGCTGCAGCACTCCTCTCCCCAGCAGCATCTCACCGTAGGGCTGCAAAGCCAATGGTATGTATCCAACCTGGGCCGTCCTGCATTCTTTAAATCTGCCGAATGGCTCGTCGGTGCTCTTGCCGGTGTTCACGTACAGCTGGATGCAGAGCAAGCGTGGAGGTGGTTGCAGTGGGGAGGGCAGGTGGGAGAGAGGGAAACGATGGATTCCTGTGAGCCTGCATCACAGCCAGCGTGCTGCTTTTTATGATGGGACGGGGCAACTAACTTGATTAGTGTGTGTTTTCATAAAGACATTTACTGTGTAACTAGTGCCTCATTACCAGAATAAAAATAGTGGATTTAGTAAATTCTTCAAGGTATTCAAATGCCTATGTTCCTTTTTCATCTTGGTAGAATTAAAAGTATCAATTAGAGTTTTGTGTGCTCTTTTTTTTTTTCCAGAGGACCTGTTAATCTATCTATTCCAAATTTGCATTTACACAAGGATGGTGAAAGTATGAATTTGTCTTGTGACTGGTGAACTGCTGTAAAGATGGTGACATTTCAGTAGTGAAACTTTCTCTGTGTTTCTGGCTTCTTGCATAAAGCATTGACAGAGCTGTGTTTGCAGTATGAAAAGTGTGTATGTCTCTCCTAACTTGTGTGCTCTGTCAAAATTCATCTTCCAAGTGTGGCCTTTCTAGTGAAGAGGTTATGGCAATACCTGTAGAGCTAAAGCTCATTCTACATTAACATTATTTTTTCATAATTTCACAATAGATGTGGTAACTACATACAGTGAGAATGGGATTATATGATCCTGTGCTGGCTGCTTTTCATATTTGCAGCATGACAGAAAAATATTTTTGATTACTTTTTGTTATTGTTACTTACCGTTGGACAATTTGTCACATCTGATTACTTCTGTTTATAAATCTCCTCAAACTTCTGTATATAAATCCTCTGACTATGCCCCCTAGTTCCAGACAATGTTTAGTTTAAAAAAACCCACCCACAGGCCAGACCAGAGTCTGGTGGAAAACAGAAAAAGGGTCTTTGGCTTCTCTCCAAAGTCTTCATGTGGGGTAACAGCACAAAGGTGCCAAGAGGCCAGTTTAAAGTGGGAATTTTTCCAGAATTGGGAGGAGATTACTAGGTAGGAAACAGCTGGCGTTATGTCCCCTAGGCCTGTGCATGGGGGATGTAGCTGCAGTGCCGCTGTGTCCAGCGGCTCCTGGTTCAGTGGGACCGCGTGTTTTACAGGCTGCTTCGCAATAAGGGTCGGTGTGGACACGCCTCCCGCTGCTGCCAGTGTAATAACAGCTCTTTGTGGCTGTCTCTTCATTCCCATGTACATTTGTCGTATTTTCTTAAGTAGTGGGTAGTGTGTGCTGCGTTCATGTGAGAGATTGTGCTCAAAACTTGTGAATATGTTTCTACAAGTGAATACACTCACAGTATTATTATTTTTAACAAAGCCTTCTTTGAAGTCTTGCTTGAAATTATTTCTGTTGCTGTGTTACTGCTACTGTTACATGTTCAAGCCTTGAACTGTCAAGGAATTATGAAGTATTTTTATCCTGTGACATTTTAAATTATTCTCTCCGTAGGGGAAGCCTGTGGGAACGCCAGATGCTGGTGCCTATTTCCGCGTGCTAGCAGAGCATGAAGTAGCTGCCGCCTTTACTTCACCAACAGCAATTAGAGCAATCCGTCAGCAGGACCCTGAGGCAGCCTTGGGAAAGCAGTACTCTCTGAAAAGGTGAACTAAGGATACACTGAAAGCAGTTTCTTACAGAAACAGGCTGGATGAACTAAGAATAGCAGAGTGTCTGTGGCTTTGCCCACCTCTGTATAGAAGAATCAAATGTGTTCTTGACAATTAAGGTGTACCTGTATTTGCTTGTAAATTTATATTGATACTTTGGAGGAGATAAAAGCTGTTAAAAAGATTACAACTCTAAGGTTAAGAGCTCTTACTGAGTTAGGATTGCTTGCTCAACCTTAATTTTACTCCACTGTGCTTATACCCTGTAATACAGTCTTGGATTACGTGATCCTGTACTGGGTACTGTTTTCCCAATGACCTCTCATTTCACTGAGTGCACAGGATCTTTATTGTTCGTTTAATCAGCAGCTAGTCAATGTTTTGTTTATTTCCCCATAAGTTAATTACTGCTTATAGTTCTGTGCTCCAAAGACTGAGCTATTTGCTACCTCATACTGTTTTTAAGGTGTTTATCCTATACTATCTGCATGCTTCAAAATCATGACTGAGTTCATCCTCACAAATCCGCTGTGAGGAGAGAGAGTGGTATTATCTGTATTTTGCAGATGGGAAGCTGAAGCATAGAGAGATTAAGGTCAAAGTCTTCTATTAGTTTTGACTATTCAGTCTGAGCCACTAAACTACTGCTATTTCAGAGTTCTTAGCATTATATGGTTAAAATGCGTTAGTAGCATTGGATCAATAAAATGCTCCTCACACTGAATTGCAACTGTGAGTGTTTAGTACTTCAACAGACCAAGTTTTTGTATCTTACGACAAACATTCTAAAAACGAAAAATTTTTGGTTTTGTACCCCATCTGATCTTGAAGTTGAATAATTTGCTCAGCATCAAACAAGTACTGTGTCAGACTGTGTAGGCAATATTCAGTCATAAGACATCTTTTATGACACTTGTCCAAAGAGAAGAGGAAGATGCAAATCCATGTAGCTTCATTAGACCTCTACATTCTTAATAGCTTAGGAAAATTTTATTTTATTAGTAAGCTGGATTTATTCCTGAGGTTTTCGTTACATTACTTTCTTCTGTCTGAGTGCTATCATCAATTCTTACTCCTCCTTGAAATAGGAAACAAGCTCATTTGAGACCCTAATGCACTATTCTTCTATGATGTTTATTGACAAGAAAGTGATTCAGATGCTAGAAAATTTAATTGCTGCTCTTCAGCATTTTTTAGGCAATAAGTAAAATGACTTAGTCTGTCTTTAGGGTATTAATTTAGTGGAAAATCTGCTAACCTGCTCTGTAAGTTGTCACATTTTCTGGCCAAATGAGAATTCCAGATAAGAGTTTTCTTGCTGATGTCAGTTGCTCCAGATGTAAAAAGGTACTTCATCATTCCTATTCAGTGCATGGCTAATGATCTTCTCCATTTGTCTGCAGATTTAGTTGTCTCATGATTCACTCAGCTTTGGGCCATGTCATTCCCTGGTACATGACTTCTCTATACTAAACTCTCTAGTGCAGCATTTAATATCTCGTAGTTGCAGTTGTTAAGAAATGGAGTCCAACGGGTGATTAGAATTTCCAGGTGACTTTTCCATCCAAGGTCAATTGAATTCTATCTTTCAGTTTGAAATCAGTGTTACTTTTCATTCATTTACTTGATCTATGATGCTTTCTTCTCTGTTACATGGTGCAGAATCTTTGAAATGAGATGTCTTTCTGCTGCCTGGGCTAGGATATATCCTTACTTACTCTAGAGACTCTGAAACACATGTCCAGGAATGCAGTCCTGAAAGAGGTTTCCACCATGGTACATTTCATTCCTGAAAAATTCTATTAAAAAACTGATAAAGGTCAATGTCACTTTTTAAAAATCCTCTTAAAAGACAATTACTGATAAGGTACAGAGTTGGTAGGCAATTCCAGCTTCTAGTATACAAGGGAGCACTTGATTTACAGGAGTAAACTGAATTATAAGCAGACTTGCATTCTTTTGAAATGACGTAAGTTAAATTTCTGTTAAGAACTGATGCTGGCCTCACTGGCCCATGCACAAAATTGTATGTAAGGTTTCCAAAAGTTCTAGCGCGTGTGCTTCAAGTTCCTTGTTGGCTATTGGAGTCAAATCTTGAAATTTGTTTGACACAAAATATGTCAAATGTCTTAAACACGGCTAATGCTTAACAGGAAAAGGGATGTTTAAATACTGTAGGTTAAAACAGTTCAACCTATGTTGAGCCACATATTGCTAGAGGATCTGAAGACCTGGCCTTTGACAACACACAGTGCTGCTAAGCAGGCTGTCTGATCATATTGCTGCCTGTTGTGTTTGAAAAACAAGTAACGTCCAAGTTCTATGACCCTCATGTACCTGAGCATATTCTGTTCAGATTTTGGAATCTGTTCTCATCTTCATGGGGTAACTCCGTAACACTGAGCCATTAACTCTTCTCATATTTGGAATCACACTTCATCCTTTAATTGACTTGTTATGAACTGGCTAGGTCTGATTTCCAAATTACTGACAACTGACAGTTTTGCATGAAATGGGATAACAGCTCAGCAGTTTAGATTAACATATAAGTAATGTTTGTGTCTCATAGCTTACTTGGCTTTCTTGACTTCTGGTCAATTGTGAATGTTCTGCCATTTTATATCAAGAATCTAGAGATTCTAGCTTGTTCATCTGATACCAGATATTAATGCTTGCTTTAGAAAGAAATATGAGACTGCATAAAAACTGTGCAGAAGTAATGAATATAAAGTAGATTAGAAACTCCCATTTTCAGTCTCATAACAGGAACAAGAGGATTTGAAATTAAAGTAGCAAATTCAAAACTGTTAGAACAAAGTATTTTCTCATATAATTGGTATCTTGCACATGCTACTAGAGGATACGTGATTAAGATGCAGAATTCAGGACAATTGAAGTTCGTTATGCAGTTCTGCCTGCCACCTCCTATTCTGTGCTGCTGTAGATCGTGTATGGCCATTCCTGTTGCAGTCCTGAGCTGTGTTTATGAAGAGCCTTTGTGGAGCTCCCCGTCATCCCCTTCATCAGGAGCTGAGCTGCAGCTCAGGTGTGTTTTGTGTCTCTCTGACTGTCACCCAAACCTCCAGTGCTTGGATCCACATGACTAAGGTAAAATCTGTTCAGGAAGGAAAACAAGCACACACATCAATGGAGAAAAATCAGAAGACCTGAAAATATTATTTATTTATTTAACATGTTTAGGTGTCTGCAGTCTGCGGGTGCATTAAGAATTAGTAAGAGTTCTTTGTTTCGAGTTTAAGAAGCACAAATGAACCTTCCTCGCTGTCTTTTCAGGCGAAAAAGCTTCTTTAACATGATGCAGATAGAGTTTTTCTTTGCCAGAAAGAGACTGGTGTATGCATTCCAGAATTAAAAACACTTTCGTGAACTTTTAATCTGGAAAAGTGCAGCTCATATTATTATCCATGTGAACACTCCTGCTTTTGGGAAATGATTTGGAGATGTGATTTCTTTTGTGCTTGGAGTGACAACAAAATCTACATGCTGTATTGAACAATTTAGATTGTGTCAGGGCCATTAGGGATCTTGATCTATAGGTGATACTTCAAGTCCGCTCTGCTGGACTCCTGAATAGGGCCTAAAAGCTTGTTTGCACTGAACTTTATGTTAAGAATTTAGGTTTTCAGAAGAATGGCTTATGACATATTTAACAGAGAGGTTTTAAGATCTTTTTTCCCATTAACTGCATTGCAGTGATAGATGATAGTAGTAACAGGTGCATTGACATGCTTTGAAGTTTTAAGTGGACTGTTACAAAATTGTTCAGAGTGGGACATTTTATAACCATTGCCATCTCTCTTGCTATGCTGTTTGATAGGAGAAAATAAATCCATAGTATTACACTTTGTTAGGCTTGTGGCACTTTGCTCTGGTATTCTTTTTGATGGTTTTGCGCTGTAAATTTGCCAAAGAGCTAATCCCTCTCCTTCTTGCAACATAAGATTGCTCTTGAGCCTGTGTATTATTAAATCTGATTATTAAAGCTGGCAATTCAGAAGAGAGGCATTCTGGTTTTGACTCAGGGAATAACATGATGTCTTAACTTTTTTGTCAAGTCTTTTAAATTCTTGGTGTTTTAATAGCCCTATTTTTAAAACAAGGACACTTAACAGAGTTTTTCAGCAGTGTATGAAGCAGGTTAAGGAATTCATAAATTGAATTTTTACATGATAGCTGAAAAGTTGTGTTTAGCATGCCTAATTACAGAACAATCCATATAGCAGGAGTGCCCTGCATGTCAACGTGAGTCTTAAAAAACTTTTCATAAAATACATGTTTGTGGTTTTTACATCCACAATATTTTCTTCACTTCTGTCATAAACTTTTATTTGTGTTATGACTCCTAGTTAGCTATTAACTGTAATTATCAGCAATGGCTTGTGCTTTACAATAAAAAGCATTCAGGTGCAAGATGGGGATTGGGGTCACAATCATTATAATCATTATCTTCTAATGTGGGAGGTGTACTCAGAAAGCAGTTTACCAAAATGATGTTGTAAATTTATAAGTACAGAAAACTGTGCTTTGATGTGAAAACTGCTTATACATTTGACCCCCTGCCTTCTCTTCCAAGAAGGAAGCTGCTCCAAGCCATCTTGGGGTGTCAGAAAGGAGAGTGGGCAGAAACAGTGTTCTGAAATTAAGGATGTTGAGTTCTTTCATCTGCATATTCAAGTTCAACATGGTAACATTTTTCAAGATCTTCTGAGTTTCATAAGTTTGTAACTAGATCTGCAGTAAGTTGATTTTTGTATATCAAAGTTATTATTATAGCTACCTCTAGGGTTGTTACTTCTGCTTAGTTCACAGATAAGACCATTCTCAGGTTGTTATTTTTAGCTGATGCAGGAGTCCCTACCTTAGCGATTAGAGTTCCCAGTAACTTGTGCTTGTGGAAGTTGCTTTTCGTATATTCAAACTACGGATATGTAAATGGATCTAAAAGAAATAAATTCATCAAATTTTTGATGTCTAGGCCAAGTGTCACTGTGAAAAAAACTCTGTTCAATTTTAGGGCACATGGCTTATTGCACTTCATGATGTTTCATCCCGAGTTTTACTTATGTTGTCTCCAGATGTAGGTTTACTCTGTACATTCTCCTGCCTTGCATCTACCAGCAAGTAGGTCACTGGTCCTTACACTGTGAGATGCTGCCCTTCATGCTAACGGGGTGTGCCTGTCCTCTGGAGAGGAATGGAGTGTGAATATTCAAAGTATGCTTTTTTGTTTCGGCAGCCTTGTTACGGGATATCTGTGGTCTCTAGGTGAGAAGTCAATCTTTAGGTTTCTTCTTAGAGGTATTCCCAGTTCTGTGGTCACACAGGCTGATCTGTGCATTTCTCTTTCTCATTTCTGACACCCTTGAGTAACCCGCTCTGACTTTTCTTATAATTTCCTAAGTTGCTTTCTGGATTTCATCTACGTGGAAGGATGAATCTCATAGTTTTCTTTCTAAATTACATGCCTCTGAAGTGAAATTTATTGCATGCCCACTGTATCTAAGAGTTCTCTTTTTATGACCACAAATCTACAGGTTTTACAAAATCAATGCAGTTTGTGTCCATTGCTGAAGGACAAGAGTCAAGTCCTTTGTTCAGCAGTTGTCTTCATACTTCATACATAATGGACTGTGTGAAGACTTGAAGTGAAACAAAATGTCGCTGACATTGAGCTGGCTGTGGTAGAGCGTGCTGCAGTCCTAACAAGGGGACATTTTGAAGAAATATTTTTAATTCCAGGATCTGATGTTAGGCCACATGAAGCTCTGTTCATATCTTAGTTTGGCATTCTGTCATCTCTGAAGCCTCAAAGGATTGATGCAGTACTTGGCAGAGTGTCTCTTCAGTTTCTCTTGGCATGACAGGCTGTTCATGAAATGTTTAGTCACTTGTAGCGTGAGTATACCTGTATGCTCTCACTTGAAGAGAGAAAGAGGTTATTTGCTAGTAAACAGAGTTCTTCTGATATGGCATCTGAATCTGTGTTTGCCTCTTATCGTTCCTTTCTTGCCTCAACTCTTTGAGGTCTTGAATTGCATCTCTGGGTAAAATGAAAGTGCTGTCTTTGTTGGTCAGATGCCGAGTAGAGAGGATCTGGGAGAGGGAAGGCATGAGCCCACCCACCCTGTGGATACTACAGAGTGGAAGCAAATTCTTTGGTCTGTAGCAATAGGGCATGTGTACAGGAGCTCTGCGTTCAGAATTCACATTATGCCTTGTGGCATGATTGCACCTGGTGATTACGAACAGGCATTAATGCGGCTGAAGTGTTTCAGATTGCCACACTAGCCTTCTGGCAAAGGAGGTGCAGTTTTCCATTGTGATTTATCTGTAAAATGAAACCAGAAATGTTATGTCTTAAATTTCCCTCTGGTTTTTTGGTTATTTTCCAAATAGATGATTTCTGTTTCAATATCTTGCTTAAATAGGAGCATGTTTAAGTGCACAGCAAAGTAAGAATGTCCAAAGTGTCAGGCAAAAATTGTCCTTTTTCTGAGATGCAGGAACATCGCTTCCAAGTTATAATGCAATAATCTAATAGCTGTATCTAATGCTATCTTTTTAAACAGTAACTTAACAAAGTCTCAATACTGTACCTTAGTGTGTTAGTTAGCATTGCTCTAGGGCCTTGGATTATTTTTTTTTTTTTATTTTGGTTTTGTGTAGTGGTTTAACCAAGCAGGCAGCTAAACACCACACAGGTGTTCACTCACTTCCCACCCCCTCCCAATGGGATGGGGGAGAGGATCTTGGAAAAAAAAAAAAAAAAGTAAAATTCATGCATTAAAACAAAGACAGTTTAATAGAACAGAAAAGGAAGGGATAATAATAATAATATACAAAATAATGCAATTATTCACCACCCACTGACCGACGCCCCGCCAGTTCCCAAGCAGCGGCCCTCCCTGGCCAACTCCCCCAGTTTATATACTGAGCATGAAATCCCATGGTATGGAATACCCCTTTGGCCAGCCTGGGTCAGCTGTCCTGCCCATGTCCCCTCCCAGCTTCCCGTGCACCCCCACCTTCTCGCTGGCAGCCCAGAGCATGGGAAGCTGAAGTCCTTGACTGCTTAGCAACAACTGAAAACATCAGTACATTATCAACATTATTTTCATTCCAGATTCAAAACACAGCACTATACCAGCTGTTGGGAAGAAAATTAACTCTATCCCAGCTGAAACCAGGACATTTTGTTATGTAAGAAATAAACCTTACCCTTTTGAGTCTCTTCAAGGTAAATTACTCTGTAAAGTTGCCTCTTGTTCTTTGTGGACTATAGAAGAAGCCTAGAGGACTAGTTCAGGATAGACATATGTTTTTGATAATAAGAGCCAAGTAAGATAAATACCAAGAAACCATGCTGTCATGACACAGACTAATAATAAAGAATTGAATATAGATCAACGGTTCATCTGAGTATAGTTGGCCATTCATTTTCACCTGTTCATCATGAATCTGAATTCAACGTTCTGTGTTTCTACCTAAAGAGAGTTGCTTATTTGCTTGGAGGTGTGAGGTACGATTGTAAATGATTCTTCTTTTTAGTATCTTCTTACTAGGTGACATTGTCTGTCCAGTGTCATGAGTATCCGTGAGTTTATATGCAATTTAACAGGACTTTAAGTCTCTTGTTAGGAAATAAGTGCAAAAAATCTGCTATGACATGAATAAATCTACTGTGCAAGTGTTAGAAAGATCAAATCCCTAGCAGCATGCAGTAATGTACACTAATGTCTAGCTTCTGACCACTGGCAGTCATATTTAGAGAAAGCTACCATTGACATAGAGGATCTTATAATTTTAAACAGGGCATGAAGTGAACTTGTAATGCTTAATAAAGGACAATAAAGTGTGACTAAACATCCGATAAAAGATTATGAGGTTAAAGACTGTATGGGTTTAATACCCAGTTATATAGTGCTACCTAATTTAATGGTACAAACATGCAAATCACATCTGTCAAAACTGCCAGGCGTTGCATGTCGTCTTTGCCAAAGCTGGCTGCAGCACGTCCAGTGAAAGGAGCTAAATTCTAGTACGAATTCAGCACTGCTGAATGTTGTTCTGTGATTGGCATTATTTAGTATCATCTACTTTTTTTTTTTTTTAATGTATATATAGCCAGCCTCTCCACAGGAAAATGGCTTTAGGTCCCATTCTTTCCCCAAAACTCATTTCCAAAGGCGTATAAAAAGGTAACTCAACAGCTCGCAAAATACTAAAATCTGTTTAAATGGAACATTATTAACAACTTAAAAGTAAGAGTTATGCTACAGGTATTTCCTTTTGGTCCTCACTATTTCTTTACTAATTTTTCTCATAACTCTTTCTGACCCTTTTTTGGTATTTCAATCTTATGTTTTGCCTAACGGATATCTACCTAGTTCCTGTGTACAGAGCATTTAATTATTTTTCCCTTCCAGTGACAGTTGCTTGCCACTGGTCTACCAGGTCTTTGCATTCTGAAAATAAAGCTTCTTTTACATGATATTTTAAGTAGCATAAATTAATAGTGCTAAGATTCTAATTTTTACTCAGTAGGATGAAGCATAAAAGGAGTAAGAGTCCTCCTTCCCCTGTTCTTGTTATCTCATCTGGGAAACCAACCACAGACATTTATTGAATTTGTTTTCTTGTTTTCCTTTCCCCATCCAGATCAAGATATATACTTTTTTATTTTTATTTAAAGGTTCAGAACATTATTTGTAGCTGGTGAGCACTGTGATGTGGACACACTAGAATGGTCAAAAAAGGTCTTCAAGGTACCTGTCTTGGACCACTGGTGGCAAACTGGTGAGTGTTTTAAAATACCCTTTGAAAAATATGATGAGGAGATACTTTCAGACTTGTTTCATGAGCCTGCAGGTAGAACTGGTTTCTCTTTCCATGAACATTTAGGCAGGACTAAGTGTAAAAATAAAAATTCAAGCAGGAAGACTGTTTTTTGGAAGTTGTCTGAAAAGTGACTTAATGATATATTTAAAACACAGCATTTTTAAAAGATGTATAGAAAAAATGGTATTTTCTGATGCCTGTGTTAAAAAAAAAAAAGAAAAAAAAAGAAAAAAGGTTTGCATCAGTATTTTTTCCAGGTGTATTTTTATATTGTTTGCATGTGTGACTATTTTCATGGAATCATAGAATAGTTTGGGTTGGAAGGGACCTTTAAAGGTCATCCAGTCCAACCCCCCTGCAGTGAACAGGGACATCTTCAACTAGACCAGGTTGCTCAGAGCCCCGTCCAACCTGACCCTGAATGTTTCCAGGAATGGGACATCTGCCACCTCTCTGCGTAACCAGTTCTGGTGTTTCACCACCCTCATGGTGAAAAATGTCTTCCTTATATCTAGTATGAATCTGCCCTCTTTTAGTTTAAAACCATTCCCCCTTGTCTTATCGCTATAGGCCTTGCCAGAAAGTCTGTCCCCATCTTTCTTATACACCCCCTTAAAGTAGTGGAAGGCTGCAATAAGGTCTCCCCGGAGCCTTCTCTTCTCCAGGCTGAACAACCCCAACTCTCTCAGCCTGTCCTCACAGGAGAGGCGTTCCATCCCTCTGATCATTTTAGTGGCCCTTCTCTGGACCTGCTCCAACAGGTCCATGTCTTTCCTGTGCTGAGGGCTCCAGAGCTGGATGCTGTGCTGCAGGTGGGGTCTCACCAGAGTGGAGTAGAGGGGCAGAATCCCCTCCCTTGACCTGCTGGCCACACTGCTTTGGATGCAGCCCAGGATACGGTTGGCCTTCTGGGCTGCGAGTGCACATTGCTGGCTTATGTCGAGCTTTGCATCCACCAGTACCCCCAAGTCCCTCTCAGCTGGGCTGCTCTCAATCCCTTCATCCCCCCAGCCTGTACTGATACCAGGACGTGTCCCCACCCAGGTGCAGGACCCTGCACTTGGCCTTGTTGAACCTCATGAGGTTCACATGGGCCCATTCCTCGAGCTTGTCTAGGTCCCACTGGATGGCATCCTGTCCCTCAGGTGTGTGAACTGTACCCCATCTTGGTGTCATCTGCTGTCAACTTGCTGAGGGTGCACTTGTTCCCACTCTCTGTGTCATTGACAAAGATACTAAAGAGTACTTGTCCCAGTATGGGCCCCTGAGGGACATGACTCGTCACCAATCTCCATCTGGACACTGTGAGCCATTGACCACTACCCTCTGGATGTGACCATCCAACCAATTCCTCATCCACCCAACAGTCCACCCGTCAAATCCATATCTCCAATTTAGAGAGAAGGACGCTGTGGGAGATGGTGTTGGAGGCCTTACAGAAGTCCAGACAGACAACATCCATAGCTCTTCCCTTGTTCACTGGTGTGGTCACTCTATCATAGAAGGCCACTAGGTTGGTCAAGCAGGACTTGCCCTTGCTGGCTGTCTCAAGTCACCTCCCTGTCCTCTATGTGCCTTAGCATAGCTTCTGGGAGGATCTGCTCCATGATCTTCCCAGGCACAGAGGTGAGGCTGACAGGTCAGTAGTTCCCAGGGTCCTCCTTGCTACACTTTTTACAAATGGGTACAATATTTTCCGTTTTCCAGTCACCAGGGACCTCACCAGGTCTTTTCAGGTATCATGGAGAGTGGCTTGGCGACTACATCAGCCAATTCCCTCTGGACTCTGGGATGCATCTCGTCAGGTCCCATAGACTTGTTCATGTTCATGTTCCTCAGGTGCTCTCAAACCTGATCTCCTCTTACAGTGGGAGGGACTTTGCTCCTCCAGTCCCTGTTTTGCAGTCCATCAAGTTGAGAGGTGTGGGAAAAGACACTGCCAGTGAAGATGGAGGCAAAGAAGTCACTGAGTACCTCAGCTTTCTCCTCATCTGTTGTTGCCAGTTTGCCAGTCTTGCTCATGGTGGGGGTATGCTTTCTTTGACCTTCCTTTTCTGGCTGACATACCTGCAGGAGCCCTTCTTATTATTCTTTCCATTCCTTGCCAAGTTCATCTGCAGCTGCATCTTAGCCCTCTGACCCCATCCCTACACAACTGGGCAGTGTCCCTGTACCCCTCTCAGGACACCTGTCCCTGCTTCCGCTGCCTGGGCATTTGCTTCTTGCCCTTTAGTTTGCTCGGCAGGTCTCGACTCATCTGTGTGAATCTCTTGCCTTCCTTTCCTGATTTCTTACATCTGGGGATCAAGAGCTCTAGTGCTCCGTGGAAAGTGTCCTTAAAGATCTGCCAGCTCTGTTCTGCTCCCTTGTCCCTGAGGGCAGTTACCCAGGGAGTCCTATTGATTAACTCCTTGAAGAGCTGGAATTTTGCTTTCCTGAAATTCAGGGCCCTGACTTTACTCTTTGTGACAGAAAAAATGGTAGGTAGGGATCTTTCAGGCTTAGGTTTTTTGCACATATATTTTCTGTAGTTAAAAACAATCAATCTGCAGCACGGAGTAGACTCCTTGGTCTTTAATATTGTTCTGTATGGATCCCATCCAACTTCTATTGATTGTTTTGGAACGTCTCCCATTTATTTCACTGGAGGAGAATTAGATACTTACATTGCAATGAAGGAATCAGAGTACCAATCTATGTGTGACTCTGCAAACATCCCAGTTGAATTCTGGATTAAGGCTTGATCAAATGTGTCTCCTAATAACTGTGGATTAATATATTTTTAAATTTCACTATTACAAGATCAGATTTGGATTTTGCTTCTTACACACGTTATTGCTATTTAAGATAAGGAAATGTATTACAAAGGTTCCCTCCTCCCCTCCCTCCTTCACTCCCTTCCAAGAATGCTGCTTCTATTTTCTGCGCATCATTGTTTTGAGATGCAGATTTTCTCTGGTCTCTCTCTATATGTTTTGATTCTGCCATGATGGGTCAGATAGCAGATATATAAGATTAGAATAAAAAGTGGAAAACTCTTTAGTTAGTCTATAATATATGCTATGCAATGAAATCAGTTGAGGAGGTTTAAAATGCACCTTTTTTTATCAAAACCCCCACAATCTTAGGTAGATACTGAGAAGGTACTGGAGGATAGTAGTGTCATTTTTTTATTCAATCTTGATTTAATCTGGTAATTAATTGATAAATACAAGGGACAAGACCTGTTTTTTGCTCACTTCTCTATGATCCTAATGTCTGTAGGCAAGAACAGGCCTCAGTTATGCAGAATAAGCAATTAACTGAAAAAGATTAAAAAATCAAATCATGTCTCTGACTACCTACTGAGCTGACAGTAAGCAGTATTACTGTGTGTAATTTTGTGTGTTTTTATCTGTCTGCACGTATATATAATTGCCTATAGCTTTGACGTATATTTAGTGCAAAGGTTTAATGCTACTGTGTTCATTCAGATGTACCTCAGGTATTCGATGAGAGATCTTGAACAAACATGTGGACATAATCGTACTCATAGTATGTAGAGGTAAGACTGTGTTTGAGAGACTTTTCAAAGACCACAAGCCTAGCTCAGAGTATAGTGTGTTTCTTGATTTTTATATTCACAGTATGCTCTTAAATTAAATTGTAGCATGACTTAATGAGCTAAGGCCATTTCAAATATAGTGTTTGAGACCATGTAATAATTTGTTTAGAATGAAGTCCCATTTTTATTTCCAAGTGATTTCTGTAGAAATGTGTGCTGTTGAATGTAAGCAAGGCATTCAGTGTGAAAGAAAATATTTACTAAGTCAGATTTCCTATCAGAGAACCGAATTTCAAGGGATAAGGAGAAAGAAGGATGGAAGAATGACAGAACCATTGGGCTTGATAGGGACCTCCTGAGGTCATCTGGTTCACCCTCCCTGCTCAAGCAAGGTCACCTAGAGAAAGTTGCCCAGGATCCTGTCCAGTTTTTAATATCTCTCTGAATGGGGATTCCACAATCTTTCTGGGCAGCCTGTGCCTGTGTTTGAATGCCCTCACAGTAAAAACACTTTTTTTTTTGTGCTCCGCTGGAATTTCCCATGTTTTAGTTTGTGCCTATTGCCTCTTGTCCTGTCAGTGGGCACCGCTGAGAAGTCTGTCTGCCTCTTCTTTATTGCCTCCCATCCAGTATTTATACACATTCATAAGATCTCCCCTGAGCCTTCTCCAGACTGAACAGTCTTAGCTCTCAGCCTCTTTCCATATGAAAGATGTCCCTTTTCCTGGCTGTTCACTGGAATCTCTCCAGTAGCTCCATCTCTTGTACTGTGGAACCCAGAACTGGCCCCTCCAGACATGGCCCCACCAGTGCTGAGCAGAGAGCAGATCGGCCTGCTGACAACATTCTTCCTTTTGCAGCCCAGGATGCTGTTGTCCTTCTTTGCTGCGAGGATGCATTGCTACCTCATGGTCATCTTGCTGTCCACCACAATTTTAAGATTGTTCTCTGCAGATCCTTCTCTCTCCAGCTGGCTGGTCCTCAGTGTGCAGTGGTGCCTGGGGTTATTCCTCCCCAGATGCTGGACTTCATTGAACTTCATGACGTTCCTGCTAAAAAAAATGTAGAGATGCCTCTGAAAGGCAGCACACCCATCTGATGTATCAGCTGCTCTTCCTAGTTTTACATCATCTGCAAACTTGCTGAGGGCACACTGTTTCCCGTTGTCCAGGTAATTAATGAAGAAGTTGAACAGTATTGGCCTGTCAACCCCTGGGGTATACCACTAGTGATTTGCCTCCAATGGGACTTTGTGCCACTGATCACAACCCTCAGGGCCTGGCTCTTCAGACAGTTCTGAGTCTACCTTGCTGTCCATTTATCTCACCCATCGTTTGCTTATCTATCGGAATGTTATAGAAGGCAGTGTCAAAGGCTTTACTAAGTTGGAGGTAAAGAACATCCACTGCTCTCC